GTGTCAATAAGCATGTCTTGTTAAAAAAAGTGTATGGAATAAGGGGAACTTTGAAAATTATCTTTCACTTTCCATTGTGCCTGTATATCTAATGATACAGCTGTCTGTTTTATGCATAGCTGCTGCTGTTGTGATCTTGAGGGATTTTTCCCTCCACACCAGCAGAACACCTGACCCTGAGGAGGAAGAGAAAGAAAACGACGAGGGAGGACATGTTCAGTGAGATCCTGAAAACCAGTGTTGCAATGAACTGCAAACAAAGGCCCTACTTGGTCAACATGGCAGACAGCATGTAGAGGGACAGAGAGGACAGGAGAAAATGGAGAAAGACCCAGGAAATCCAAGCACGGACTCACCACCCTTTGCAGTCCCTAGAGAACTCCACGGTGGCAGCTCCCTGCATTCCCCAACATTCCATCTGGCACCAAGGGTCGCATTCCTACTCCTACCACTCCACACTGGCGACAGTAAGGACAATCACAGCTTCACATACGCTAACCTGTGAGGTAAAAACTCTTAAGCAAAGTAAGCAGTCATGGGATAAGAGGGAAGGTCCTTTCATGGATCAGTAACTGATTAAAAGATGGTGAACAATGGGTAGGAATAAATGGTCAGTTTTCACAATGGAGAGTGGTAAATAGTGGGGTCCCCCAAAGATCTGTACTGGGACTAGTGCTGTTTAACATATTCATAAATGATCTAGAAAAGGAGGTGAACACGAAGGTGGCAAAATCTACAGATGATACAAAGTTACTCAAGATAGTTTAAAACTGACGGCAAAGAGTTACAAAGGGATCGCATTAAACTGGGTGACTAGGCAACAGAATGGCAGATGAAATTCAATGTTGGTAAGTGCAAAGTAATGCACATTGGAAAAAATAATCCCAACTGTACATAAAAAATGATGGGGATGTAAATTAGCTTTTACACTTAAGAAAAAGATCTTGAAATCATTGTGGATAGTTCTCTGAAAACTTCCACTCAATGTGCAGTCAAAAAAGCTAACAATGTTAGAATCCCTTAGGAAAAGGGATAGATAATAAGACAAAATATCTTAACACCACTATATAAATCAATGGTATGCCCACACCTTGAATACTGCATGCAGTTCTGGTCGCCCCATCTCAAAAAAAGATATATTAGAATTGAAAAAGGTGCAGAGAAGGACAACAAAAATAATTAGGGGTATAGAACATCTTGCATATGAGGAAAGATTAGAAAGACTAGGACTGTTCATCTTAGAAGAGAGTCAACTAAGGGGGATATGATGGAGGTCTATAAAATTATGAATGGTGTAGAGAAAGTAAATAGAGAAGTGTTATTTCCCCCTTCACAAAACGTAAGAACTAGGTGTCACCAGATGAAATTAATCGACAGCAGGTTTAAAAACAAACAAAAGGAAGTACTTCTTCACACAACGCAGCCAACCTGAGGAACACACTGCTATGGGATGTTATGAAAACAAAGCATAACTGAGTTCCAAAAAATAATTAGATAAGTTCTTGATGGACAATGGCTATTACCCAAGATGGTCAGGGATGCAACCTCATGCTCCAGATATCCCTAAACCTCTGACTGCCAGAAGCTGAGGCTGGACGACAAGGGATGGATCACTCAAAATTGCTCTATTCTGGTCATTCCCTCTGAAGCATCTGGCTCTGGTCGCTATTAGAAGACAGGATAGTGGGCTAGATGGCCCATTGATCTGAACCAGTACGGCTGTTCTTACATACTGCGGAATGCATAGCAGTACCCAAATCACCAAGTACTTGTGAGTGTACAGCACCATAGAACTCACAAGTACAAGAAAAAACCCAGTTGGATGTGTAAACATACAGCACACATTGAATAATTCATAGTTTCAGTGAAATGCAGTGTAATGATGATAAATGCACAACAAGCAACAAAAAAGGCATAGGTTCACTAAAAGACAGTGTTATACACCTCTACCTCGATATAATGCTGTCCTCAGGAGCCAAAAAATCTTACCGCGTTATAGGTGAAACTGCGTTATATCGAACTTGCTTTGATCCACCGGAGTGCGCAACTCCGCCCCCCCAGAGCACTGCTTTACCGCGTTGTATCTGAATTCGTGTTAGATCAGGTCGTGTTATATCGGGGTAGACGTGTATGTATAAATGTACACCAAGCACTACATAGTTCCTAACAGCCCACAAACCTTCAGGGTACAAGTACAGCCAAGCATATGACATTAATGCAGCTGACCGTTAAATTATGCTTACAAACTCTCCCTCAACTACATAACTCCACTTTGTGCTCCATCTCCACCCTCAACCCCAGCAGCAGCTTTTACCTCACAGGTATTATGCAGGACACAACAAGCAACTATAATAATTGGATCTCAATGAGAAAAATATCCCAATCTCATGAGTAAAAATTTCAATACCACCAATGATAATCTGCCAATCAGGAAAGAATCACAGAATCATAGAAGATTAGGGTTGGAAGAGACCTCGGGAGGTAATCTAGTCCAACGCCCTGCTCAAAGCAGGACCAACACCAACTAAATCATCCCAGCCAGGGCTTTGTCAAGCCGGGCCTTAAAAACCTCTAAGAATGGAGATTCCATCATCTCCCTAGGTAAACCATTCTAATGCTTCACCACCCTCCTAGTGCTTCATCACCCTCCTAGTGAAATAGTGTTTTCTAATATCAACCTAGACCTCCCCCACCGCAACTTGAAACCATTGCTCCTTGTTCTGTCATCTGCCACCACTGAGAACAGCTGAGCTCCATCCTCTTTGGAACCCCCCTTCAGGTAGTTGAAGGCTGCTATCAAATCCCCCCCTCACACTTCTCTTCTGCAGACTAAACAAGCCCAGGTCCCTCAGCCTCTTCTCGTAAGTCATGTACCCCAGCCCCCTGATCATTTCCGTTGCCCTCCGCTGGACTCTCTCCAATTTGTCCACATCCTTTCTGTAATGGGGGGGACCAAAACTGGATACAATACTCCAGATGTGGCCTCACCAGTGCCGGGAATAATCACTTCCCTCGATCTGCTAGCAATGCTCCTACTAATGCAGTCCAATATGCTGTTAGCCTTCTTGGCAACAAGGGCACACTGCTGACTCATATCCAGCTTCTCATCCACTGTAATCCCTAGGTCCTTTTCTACAGAATTTCTGCTTAGCCAGTCAATCCCCAGCCTTTAGCGGTGCATGGGATTCTTCCGTCCTAAGTGAAGTACTCTGCACTTGTCCTTGTTGAACCTCATCAGATTTCTTTTGGCCCAATCCTCCAATTTGTCTAGGTCACTCTGGACTCTATCCCTACCCTCCAGCGTATCTATCTCTCCCCCCAGCTTAGTGTCATCTGCAAATGTCCCTGCTTAAAACTTTCTGAATAGTCCTTTGTTCTTAAAAATGCAAGCATCATGCACCTTCCCTGGCTAGCCAACATTGATATTGGTGAAGTGTCCCCAAGTGTCCACCAACACTTGAATCATTGTAGAAAAGTGGCCCTTTCTGTTGACGTACTCTGTGGTAGGTGAGTGCCAAAATAGGGATGGGTGTGCTATAGCCCCACTGCAGTTCAGAACTCCATTACTGCAAATCCATCCATTACGTCCTGCTCGTCGCTGAGAGTCACAATCCTGCGTACCCCTTCCTGCTTGTGCTGCTAAGAGGAACAGGGCCAGGTTCCTGCATGCCTGGCTGTGCTGGAGCCACTACAGGCGTGAAGAAGGCCCAACAGAATAAAGCAGCAGAACGTGAAGCCACTATGCTTCTTTCTCCCACAGCACCTCAGAATAAATCCTCTGATTCTGTACCATTGCTTTGCAGCAGCTGGGATCAATGCATTTACGAGGGACAATAAAAGGTGGTTGCCACATCTGCCCTGTGATTAGGGGAATGACCACAGGACAGAGGCAGTAGCAATTTAAAATCTTCCCTCAGCTGCACTGACATCATCTTTCACACAGAACTGATGGCTCTGGTCCCTGCCTGAATTCACTAGATCCCTCTCTGCTGTAGTGGCCCCACAGGAGAGCCCGGCAATGATTCTCAGTTCAGCAGCACAGCAGGGAGCAGAAAGAGAAACACACCAACCAGCGAGCTCATATAATTTTCCATGAACCACATCAAGAGCAACTTCTAGCCTCTACCACTGTTCTTCCTCTTCTGCAAACTGATCCAGCTCCCAAGAGCAGCAAAACAGCTCAAAAGATGAACAGCTAAGGAAGGGTAGGAACTGAGCCATAAAGATGGTATTAAATAAAGGTAAAAGCCTAGGAGTATCAAAACCTTGGTCCCCCTCCAGATGTGAGCTAGGATGTAATCTACAGTACATTTGTGATAAATGATGTTCTCAGAAATTCTCAGAGCAAAAAAAGATAATACCCCTGAAAGGCAGTTTCTGGTAAAGAAAAATGAAATGGACATAATTTATATTTCAAGACACACCTGAAGACTGTCTACCTGAAAATCAGCAGGTGGCTATGATGTACACTCCAACTGCCTTTACTTAGCCAGGACAGTTCCTCAGTCCAGCGTCTTTCTGTTACAAGGCTGGTTTCTGTTTGTCTCATATATGTATTGGAAGGCATAATTATATTATTTTTAACAAGACCCCTTCCCTAATCATAAAGAGTAATTCCCACTGGTCTCTTTTGACTCTTCATGTTTTTACTGGTCAATTCTTCATTCCAATATGAATACAAAACTTTTACGGACTTTGGAATCAGGACTTCACGACTTATGATTTAGAAATACTGAAGTCAGTGGGAGTTGGATCAGGTGCTTAATATGGATTTGGGTACCTAACTTTGACACCCATATTTTAAAATCTTGGCCAATTTTTGAACAGCTTCTCTAAAACACACACTAAATAATTAAACACATAAAAAAAGAGACAAATAAATATAAAGATGGATCCCATAATGTAAAATGCATCAATTTATATTGAGTACACACTTACACACACACACACACGTAAATTACATTTTATTGGAGCACACTACATACTAGAAACATTTTTACCTGCTGCTCTGTAAAGTATTTTAGGTTCAAAGAATATGCAGGGGTTTTTATCTTCTATGCACGATAGTAATAGTCCTTTGGCCTGAAGAGGACTTCTTGGAATAACAACCTGTAAAAATTATTTATAAAAACTGATTAAAAATATAATTCAGCTATTTAAGGATTAGATACAGATATAATATTAGGTTAGCAGGCCACTCGAGTTTACACAAATACTTACATAAAATCCGCTAAGGTCAGGCTTTACCAAATCATTGTTTAAAGATTAAAAACAGCTCAGAATGTTTTTCCTTTTCTACATTGGGTTAAGTTGTGCCGCTTCCTAGTTTAAAAAACTGACTAGAAGAGACTAATGATGAATATCAGGAGCAAGCAAAGCACGAAAAACAAAACCGGGATTTTCATCTGAACAATTGCCGAACCATCACTAGCTGTTGGAAACGCTACCTGTTGCTATATATGTGTTGCACTCTATCTTGTTTCATTTTTTCTAAAAGTGCAGCTATTGCTATTAACAAAAAAAAAAATAGTTTGTTTATGCCTAATTTAGCAAAGCACTTATACGCATGCTTAAATCCATCCCTCATCAACATCATCAGTGTGGCAACATTTAAGCACAAGCTTGGGGGTTTTGCTGAATCAGGGCCTATATTTAGGAGGCTTATTTTAAGTTTAACAGTAATTACAACTGAAAGGTTTTCTCTATTCTTAAATGCTACTACAGTGACCATTTCTAAATAATGTGGAAATTCCTATCTGCTACAAGACTCTTTCTTAAAAAAAAAATTCTTAATCCTTGTAAGGCTGAAACATTTATACCACAAATACAGTATGTTCAATATTTAGACTTTAAAGAGATAGACTTTAATGCACAATACTGAAAACCTTTACTAGTATTCTTGATATGTACCATACTCAAAAGTGATACCACACAAATCAGTGAAATTTACATAATCTCACCGTTTAGCAGAAATTATTTCACTTAATGTCAAATAAGAGCAATTGCTTTGCTTTAAGTAATGAGCAGTCAATCAGGATGAAAATTATTTAAAGTATGCTAACACGGGTAGTAAAATCAAATTATGTTACTTAAAGTGCTTTTTTGGTTCTTGAAAGTATTATCTTCCCCTCAAAATAGACCTGGAACAGTCCTCCTCTCTGCAGTGGGTCAGACATTGAGGAATTCTGCTCACATAAGGTAGTTTGGATTGTCCAGTTGGCACTTGTGCTATCATGGGAGCTCTCTTATCATTTACTTGAGAGGGGAAAACCAGAAATGGTGAAAGTCCAACAACTTTTATTAGAGTAAAACTTTATTTCACTGTAAGATAAAGGAATGACATTTGCAATCAGCAAGGTGTTTTCCTCAGAGAACAGCGTTTCAAAACAAAACAAAGGGTTAATGCAATCAAGAAGTAAACAGAAAAATCCTCCAGGATGAGGTTCAACCACATCCTATAACCTCTACCATCCTAAAGGCATTATTCCCTTTTCTGACTCCCAACCACTCATTCTTATAGCCCTTTCTCTAAATATCCATGCAAGGGTAGCAAGAGCTGAGTACATTTCATGTACCATACGCTTTGGCTCTCACACTTGAAGAAATATGGTATAGAAACCAATATCAATACTGGATAGTCTACTAACATGTATGGCTAGTTTTTTTTAAATTAGGCAGGTGCAGTTACCCAACTACACATAGGTGTGCACATACCCAATGTTCGCACGCACACAAGCCATTTATTTGTATATGCACATAACCAATTAGATACCTACCACACGAGGCTATCTGTATACACAGACAATTGATTCACAAGTTCATTCTGGTATCTGGATGCATACATTAGATATGTGCAACTGCAGTTCTGCAACTCATGAACCTAACCTTGAAGATCTGGTCCTCACACAATTACAGCAATATAGTGCTATGTTGAAATGGAAGGACCTTTGATACCCAAATCTAGACTGACGGAAAAGGGAAAAGAAATGAAGAAGGAAGGGAGAGGAAGAAAATTACACTAAGATTATAACATTCTAATATTCACTTCTGATTGCTGACTCTTTCAGCTGGAAGTATGGAGGCTGTGACACTAGTTTAATTTGCACTGGATTGGGAAGTAAAATTCTGTCCAATGCAGTGAATCAAGGAATTCAGAGTTTATCCAGAATACAGATTTAGACACAGTTGCACAATCTAGTAACTTTAATTACAGCAAATTTAAATATTTTCATGTGATAATTGATCCATTACTAAAATTTAACAAAGCAAAGCAATTGAAACAGGGTCTGACGGGGGGAGTATTGGGCAACCTTAATTATAGATAGTGCTATCAGCTCTACCTATAATAATTTGCATATAATCATTAACTTAAATTTTTAAAAAATTGTGTATGGATTTAGTGCTGGTGAAATGTCTTCGAGTAACAATTTAAGACTTAACATCTCAAAAATGCAAATTCTGCCTTAACTCTGAACTTAATGCAATTTTTTAAGCATTAACAGATATTGTTGGGGTGTCAGAAGAGTGGGTTGACTCCTGCTCAAGGTTCTTAAATTTATTATAATGTGGTAACTTTTCACTCAAAGTTTTTCTAGACGACAAGAGCATTATCTGCCCCTCTCCAATGAGCTTGAAGATCTCTGTGATCAAGTGACTGAAATTCACATCAGCTTTTCAAGTTTATCCTGAACATTAAGCTGCTGCAAATTTGCATCTGATTGTTTTTAATGAATTATATAAAAAGTAGCAATTTAAAATAAATTCAATTTGCCTTAAGGGAATTTGCCAGCAGAGCATCTGAAACTAACGCAAATAATGTGCTCTGATAAGTTTATGATGGTACAGTGTTCCCTATTTAAATGTGCAGTAATCATTTAAACACAGTTCTAAAATGCAGTAGGACCCACGCCACATATGTTTTTGCTGCTATTCAAGAAGGGCAGGTTGTCAGTTCATACAGGGGAAAAAGCAAAGAAAACATGCTATAACTATAATAGGAGTCCTGTTTTAACTCTCGTAGATACTCTGAATAAATACAAGGATCCCTATAATTATTACACTGTACCATTGTTAATTTTCTGTCTACAATGGGAAGAAAAAAAGACATGGAACTCAGTAGAACCGCACTTCACAGTTTTGTTTAAACATGATCACTTCTGTTCTGTACAGAGAACCTTAAGCCACTATGGAAAGTCAGGGTATGCTACTGGGTCATTTACTTCAAGGGTGTTCTTTTGCATGGTAAGTGGGCAAGTATTACTCTGCTTTGCAAAAGGTATTAAATGTTTCACTCCCTAATGTGAAGAAAATCTATAGGTTAACTAGATATAATTGTGACGTTGTGCAGTCTATATGGTTTTATAAAAATATAAGTGAATATAATGTAACTGAGATATGCTTCATGCAAAAGGTCTCTTGTAAGGTATCATTACAAAGCTCATAATCTACTGAGTGTGATCATCCTATTTGTAGAAATGTACCACTCTTGTATCTAAAACTAGAAATATAAAACATAACTCTGAGGGCCTATTGTAATTATGTAAAGTGTGGGCCATCAAGGATGGTTTGGAATCTTGATGACTCCCATTGTCTTCAGATGGCTGTATTTACCTGTGAGTCTTCCTGTATATGTGTGTGCTGGCAAGTGAGTAATGAAGTCTTGCAGTGACATGTGATCATGTCACCTGAACTGGAATCCATCTTTAACCTGGTGCTTTTCCAGTGAGGGGGGGGGGTGGAAACCCAGAGGGACAAAGAGTTCCCGCCTTATGCAAAAGATATATAAAGGGATGGAAGAGAACAAAAGAGAGAGGAGCCATCACGAAGAATCCCCTAGCTATCACCTGAGCTGCAACAAGAGCTGTACCAGGGGAAAGAATTGTGCCCAGGCCTGGAAGGTGTCCAGTCTGAGAAAAAACTTACTGAAGCATCTCTGAGGGTGAGATTATCTGTATTCAGTTTGATTAGGCATAGATTTGCCCATTTTATTTTATTTTGCTTGGTGACTTACTTTGTTCTGTCTGTTACTACTTGGAACCACTTAAATCCTACTGTCTGTATTTAATAAAATCACTTTTTATTTAGTAATTTACTTTTATTTAGTAATTACAGCTGTGCATATCTCTCTATCAGTGTTATAGAGGGTGAACAATTTATGAGTTTGCCCTGCATAAGCTTTATGCAGGGTAAAATGGATTTATTTGGGTTTAGACCCCATTGGGAGTTGGGCATCTGGGTGCTAAAGACAAGCACACTACTGTGAGCTGTTTTCAGGTAAACTTGCAGCTTTGGGACAAGTGATTCAGACCCTGGGTCTGTGTCTGGAGCCAGACAGGAGTGTCTGGCTCAGCAAGACAGGGTGCTGGAGTCCTGAGCTGGCAGGGAAAACAGAAGCAGAGGTAGTCTTTGCACATCGGGTGGCAGCTCCCAAGGGGGTTTCTGTGATCCAACCTGTCACAATAATACCACAATTTTCAGACACTGCCCTTTTGCTCTTTCACAGGTTTTTAAAATCTTTCTTGAGAGGACTCTTTTTGGAAAAGCATGATGATACAAGGAAATAATGTTGACTACACACGCATCACTCATTCCTTCTCCACAGCCATTCTCAAGAAAGGTTTTTTAAAGAGTGTATAGACAAGGTGAGCAAGGAGATATCTTTTATTGAGTCAGTCACCTATAGTTAGCTGCCATTTTTTTATTTTCTGCACATGCACTATTTCAATTGGTACCATGTCTTTTACATTCTGGAAGAATTCTTTTCCTTTATTATTTTTTCTTTTAAAGGAAAGTGGGAGGATGTCATTTCCTTTCCTTTAGATCAACCTAAATAATCTATCGTTCGTATGCACCCTGTTCTCCAAATCAGATACTCTTAAGAAGGGACTCCCAATAATCTTTAGAATAGTCTCAACATTTTGAAAGGTATCTTGTGCTTTAATAAATGGCTACTGGTAAAAGATAAATGGAAAAAACACACTTGGCCAAATAACAGGAATCAGTCTGGAATAAGTTTTTTTGCATGACAAAAAGCAGCAGTTTGAAAGTAATATCACTGAAAATGCCAGCTTGTTTAAACTACTGATCCATCAAAACAGAAAGATGCTTGCAGGTTGAGAGGAAGATGGGTCTGGCTTTAGGGAATTAATATTCAAGTGTCCATCTTGGATGGAAGCAACATCATATCTTGAGTTGGACACCTTGCTGATTTTCTTCCCCTGACTTCCTAAGGTGTCCATGTTCTCCCTATTGGAAGTTAAAATACTGTATTCATTTTTGGCACTGCATTCTTTTTGGAATAGTTATCTTAACCTGATGCTTGTATTGCAGTTTGTCTTTTGTTCAGTGTTACGATTCTGTTAATTCCCCAGATCTGTGCTAACAGAGAAATTTCTCTCACCAACATATGCAATGCTTCATTCACCCTAGCAACAAAACAAAACAAAAATCAATCCCCAGCTCCTTGTGTCAGTCATGAAATAATAAGAATCTAACGGTCATAAAGCACCTGAGTCTCTTCCTCATACATTCCCAATGAAAACTGTTGTAGGGACAGTTCTACATGCTCCTGTTTTGAAGAGGTTTTGTGTCAAATGTAGACCAGAGACATTATTTCTTGATGTCTCTGAGACACTTCTGGGATATCGGAATGAAATCCAATATACAAAAATAAAATGCATTCCCACCCTGAACCAGCTGTATCTAATAAAAGTAAGAATTTTTTTTTTTTTTAGGTTGAAGGGAACAAGGGGTGGGGAAGGGTTCCCAGCAAGAAATACTATACCTAATCTGATGCTCGTGAGATACAAAAACATGTTGGGATTATCTCTGTACACCAGAGAAAATAAGGAACAGCTGTGATTTTTTTTAAATGACATACGAACACCGCTTTTGCTTCAGAAATCTTTCAATTAATCAAGTGAAGAAACACTTCCTCTGTGCTAAGGGCTGGAGGCTGTGTAACCCAAGGGTATGAACCTATAGGTAAAAATTAACTCGAGAGAAAAGGAGTTAGAAATGGTGATATCCTAGCACAGCAATATTTATTTGAGTTAGCCCACATTACAGTGTTTATGAAAATATACAACTAGTCAGGTTTCCTCTCTCTTCCACCTCGCATATGTGAATATCACATCACACATTTGGGAAGGGAAGAAAAAGGAAACACACGCGACTTAAAAATTATTTACTTTGCTGTTTCTTCTCTAAAAATATTGCAACCTAAACCTTATTTTAATTAACTATTGTAGTTAAGGACGTACAGATGCATAAAAACTGGGAAATTAAGAGATTCCAAATCTACTATACACTGGCCATAGAGTAGATATTGGTATGTTAAATGTATGCCTTCAGAGTGATATGGTACATTAATACAAGATACCACATATGCTTACTGGGGACAAGTTACGATTACCTGAATGCTGTGCATTCTCAACAATAACATTGAACTTAATGTAGTCTTCAATTAATACACATCTATGTTCATTACCAGATATTTTGTGTGCACGCTTTTCTATGTGTTAATTTTAATTCAGTTTATGATTCAGAAAATTTAAAAAACCTTAACTGCCTTTGTTTTCCTTGTCCCTTTCCTCACTTGCTCCCAGACACACAGGTAGGTTCAAAGGATTAAATTCACCCAAAAAGAGTCTCTGAACCCTGTTTAGTCTCCTTTCCACAGACAGTATTTACTCTCGCTCATACTGTGAATTGTAATAAAGATTAAATATGAAGATTACTGTACCTTTATTCCTGGACAATGAGCAAAAAAAGCTTCTGGACTTTGAGAATGATATAGCGCACCATGACCTACGCAACCCCATGGTGCTCTTATCGTGAGACTTCCACAATTAAAAAGATCTCCAGAGCGATACCGATATTTTGCTGCTTCATTAACAATCTGAAAAAAGAGAATCATAATTTAAAAATCCTTCCTACACATTAGTAATATTCATTCCACTAACACAAGCTAGGTATACTTATACTGCTATACAAGTATACCTAGTATAAAATCCAAATATTCCTGTTTCCACCATCATGTCTTTTGTACTGGACCATCCTGTGTCTAAACTCTGGATGCCTTGTCCTGCAAGCTAAGTTCAACTTTTAGCCTGGACCTGTACGTTTCTGATTAAAGTATATACAAACATTAGTAAGGCTGCGAGTTTGTCACAGAGGTTGCGGAACTCACGGATTTCGTGACTTTCCGTGACCTCCGTGAAATTCCACAACTGCAGCGGCCAGTGTGCCTGACGCCAGAGCCAGCCGCACCAGCCACTGCTGGAGCCACCCCACAGCCAGTGGCACTGGCTGCTGCTCAGTGGCCTGGTCCCCCCAGCGCAGCAGCAGCCCCAAGGAGGTTGGGGGGAGAACAGAGCAGCACTGGCCCCAGGGCAGCTAAGATTTAGTCATGGGTATTTTTAGTAAAAGTCACAGACAGGTCACAGGCTGTGAATTTTTGTTTATTGCCCATGACCTGTCCATAAGTTTTACTAAAAATACCCATGCTTAAATCTTAGCCTTAAACATTAAACATACTCATCACTGTGGACATATTTGCAAAAATCATAATCTAAAACTTGGTTCAGCTGATTATATTTTAATCCACCAGAAAAGCCATTCTCAACAGGCAATTTGTTTCCCTTTACTTCCCTAAACAACCTGTGATAGGTACTAACCTGATCAAATGCTGGAAAAATGTAGTCTGCAAATTGAATTTCTGCAATGGCTGTAGCTCCAGCAACTGCAACTCCAATACCAAATCCAACAATTCCTTGTTCACACAAAGGGGTATTGAAAACTCTGTCTTTACCTATAAAAAAAAAAAGAAGAGCTCCTTTAATACATCCAACTGTAAAAAGAAAACTATTCACCTTTTGTCCCCAGACGTATACAATTTACAATATGCCTAATAGATTGACAAGTACATGGCTCTGTGGATGGCTTGCATACACCTATAATAAGGGTTTACAACTCATTTACAAACATTAATTAAGCCTCACAAATACACCTGTAATGAAGGGAAGTATTATTACCCCCATTCTAGAAAAGAGTAAAACTACAAAAAGGAGAGGCCATAGTCTAATTCCTGGTGGACCAAGTAATAGAAACCAAACTCCTAGAATATAAAATTCAAAGCACTGAGTGGAGAACAGGTGCAATGACCAAGTGGTGGTATGGTGCACTGACACGCTGGGCGGAAACAGGCTTCTTATACACTGCATCAAGTTCAAGCTACTGTACTCCAGGATCTTCACGGCTATGACCCTTCCTAACTGGTCACCCTCATCCTCTACTGCATTTCCCTCACCCAATGATGTAAAACTTGACCACTTCTCCCATAACCATCTTTACACGTTCCTGCAAACTGCCCCATGAACAAAACTACTTCCCTAAGCTGATGTAGAAGGCCACTACCCTCTCCTCCTTCAATTCCCTCTTCAATACCCATCATAAAAAAAAATTAGTCATCTAGTAAAAGAGAGCACAACAGGGTAGCTAGGTTCTTCTGATGACCCACCCTGTTAGCAGCAGTTGCAACTCTGAGCAAGCTAATAGAGAAGCTAGTTAAAGGGCAAATATAAGCTCACCTAGACCCATCGAAATCTGCATTCAGGCCAAGATCTGAAGTTGGAACTGCTTTTAATTGCACTGATGGATGATCTCTTCTTGTTAATAGAAATCCTACTGGACCCCTCTGCAGCATTCAGTACTGTTGACAAGACCATACTGCTGTCTCATCTGAGAGATGTGGCACGGGTACAGATAAACACACTAAAGAGGTTTGAGTCCATTCTGGAGGGTGCACCCAACCAATAGCGATCACCACCACTAGACCACTCACTAATGGTTCCACAAGGATCAATTCTCTCTGTCCTTCGCAACATCTACATGTAACCACCAGGTGAATTGATCAGATAACATGGATTCAAGTGCCAGCAGTATGCAGATGACATACAGTTCTACCTATCCCTCACCACATATGACCACACTTCTACCACCAAGATGGCCCAGTATCTGAATGAGATCATTTCATGGATGAAGAACAGTTGGCTGAAACTGAACCCGAGCAAAACAGAGATGATGCTGGGAGGCAGAGGAAAGCATTTTGAATACTTCACAGAGCAGTCCCCTTTGGTTGAAGGTACACACCCACAACCGGTCAAGTCATTCTGTAGTTTCGGAACACTCCTCAATTCCTCCTGATGCCACGCTCTGACACAAAAGCATATGCAAGTAATGCTTTCTCTCCTCTCAGAGGGGCTAGATGATTCCATCCCATCCTGACAGATGATACCCTGGCCTCAGTTAGTCTACGTCACCTCTTGGCTAGACTACAGCAATACGATATATTTAATGTATGTAGAGGCACTTCTACAGAACTTGCTACCGTAGCTGTCAAAAAAAAAGTGTCAAGCTTAGAAAATGTCCGTATTTGCTGAATTCCTACCCCCCAAAATATGTAAATAAGAGCACAGTTAGGTAAACATACATTTTTAGTATGCAGTTCATTTGCTAGTCATCCATCTTCCTGTTACCAAAAAGACTGAAATCATTACTTTGTGAGATACAATTCTCAGCAAGGATCTCAAAACCAATTTTACATTTGAAAAAGTTAGTGACCCAGCTCAAGAAGAGTTATAGACATAAATCTCTGGACATGCCTCATAACCACCTCTCAGTTATCATCACCCCTTACTTAGCCTTCCAAAATTATTCAATATTATGTCATGAGACCAAAGGCAAAGTGCTGGTAAATATGATGAAGATATTATCATTCCCTTTACCACTATGTCCCCTTCAGTCTTAACACATTGAGATTATACAATATTTCAGCTATGAGGGGGGAAAATGTCTAAACCCATCCAATTTCTTTAATGAGATGTAAGGAAAACACTGCCAAAAATAGCATTTTAAACAAGATACATACCTACAGTTTGATATTATTTTCTTACTTTTTGCTATTTACAGCTTGATCCTAAGAGGCCCTGAACACCCACAGCTCCCACTGAAATGAATGGGAGTCAATTAGGCACCATACCTCAAGATCAAGTACAGCACTGAACAAGTTGCTGGTGTTAAACAAAGATGAAAAGTATACAGAATTATGCCCACTAGGAATATGATTAAGACACACTAGTCCTTTAACATAGGTAACTGCCATCAGATGAGAGAGAGACAAGGTGGGTAAGGTAATATCTTTTATTGAGCCAACTTCTGTTGGTGAGACAAGCTTCTGAGTTTACACAGAGCTCTTCTTCAGATCTGGGAAACTTACTCAGAGTGTCACAGCTAAATAAGAGGTAGGACAGATTTTTTAGGATAAGCAGTTAACATAGTTCAAGGAGCCATTCAAGGTGACACAGAGGGAAAAGGAAAGGGCAGGAAAGTCAGCTGAGGGGGGGGGAGAGGTTGGCAGGATCTGCTATCACTTTGAGTAGGTGGGTCCTTGTCTGTGGGAAACTTGCTTCCGATCATGAACTTGGAGAGACTGGGGGGTTGTTTGAGGGCCAGAAGTGCAGGTTCAGAAAACATTTCTTTCAGGATGGGGTCCCCAACAAGTATGGGTTCTAATTGTTTGAGGATATACCCTAGGTGTTCCAGTGTGGGATGGTAGGAGACATCTAGGGGTGTGCAGTCAGAGAGGGTTTTATTTCTGTATTGAAGCAGGTTCTCTTGGGGTATCTGGGTGGCCCATTCCACGATGCAATCTACTTCTTAGGTAGGGAGTGTCCTTGTTTGGTGAAGGTGGTTTTAAGTGTGTTAAGGTGTATATCCTGGACTTTCTCCTTGGAGCATATTCTGTGGTATCTGAGTGCCTGGCCGTAAATAACCGATTTCCTAGTGTGTCTGGGGTGATTAATGGACCCATCAAGGTAGGTGTGGTGATCCACGGATTTCTTGTATATATTTGTCTGCAAGGTTTCATTGCTGAAGCTGATTGGAGTGTCTAAGAAGTTGAGGCTGGTGTGAGAGGGTTCCAAGGAGAGTTTAGTGGATTGAGGTGTTTGTTGAAGTTGTGGTGGAAATCTATGAGGAAGTTTTAAGTCGTCTGTCCAGAAGATGAAAATATTCACATATCTCAGGTATATAATTGATTTTGTGGTGCATTCATCCAGAAATTCTTCTTCAATGTGTCTCATGAAGAGGTTGGCATATTGGGGAGCCATCCTAGTGCCCATGGCTGTTTCCATGGTTTGGACAAAGTGTTTGGTATTGAATGTAAAATTTTTATTGGTGAGGATGAAATGGATGTGTTTGGTGATGTGTTTGGGGTGAGTATCTGAGGGTTGTCCATTGTCTTGTAAATATTTGAAGCAGGTAGAGCTGCCGTCATTGTGAAGGATGATGCTATATAGGGTAATGATGTCCATGATGGCGAGGATGGTTTTCTGAGGGAGATCATTAATGTTGTGGAGTAAGTTGGGTGTGTCCTGGAGGAAGCTGGCCTGTTATAGAAACCATCCTAAAACCGCTCACCAGACGAGTCCAAATATTCCTTCAGTAAAAATGCTGTGGCCAGATATGACAGGTCTGCCTGGGCTCTCATTTGTGTATCTTGGAAAGCATGCAGAAGTCCCTGAGGTGGTGTGATATATCCAGAGTACAATCTAGACTGATTAACAACTGTGACACCTCAGCCTTCTTATCTGGGTCCCCTTTACACTGCTTTGCTGCTGTAGCTACCAATCCTGGTCTCCTCTCTCACAGCCTCCAGCATGTAAATCACTCCCAGATATATTGTGTGAGTGCTGCAGCCAGCCACTCTTGAATTACACGCAGGGTAACAATAGCACATTCCCAGTCCCAGATTTGTCCCCAGAAACGTGTGACTTGAACTGCCCAGCCTTCTTCTGGACAATACAAGGTCATATAAAGTCCACCATTTTATTAATAGAAATGATAGGAACAAATCCTGTTATGCCAAATGGATTTTCCCAAACTCTTCAATTCAAATAAACTTGTTTTATTGTTTTATCTAAACCAGTGTATTAACTACAAAGAGAGATTTTAAGTGAACACAAGTAAAGAGACATAAAAGCCAGAATTGGTTACAAGAAAAATAAAAGTAAAACACAACTAATGACTAACTTAAACTAGGATAAATTCAAAACAAGGTCTCGCTCACCACATGTTTCAGCAGTTCTACTGGCTGAACATCTATCAGTCAGGATCCCTCCCCCCAGTCCAACGTTGCTTCCTTTGTTCTTCAGATGTCATGAATGCTGTGGGCAGAGAGAAAGAGAAAGATCATTTGCAGCATCCTCCCCTCCCCTTTCTATAGCCCTTCTCCAGCTGGGAGCGGGGTGCTAGGCACTGTCCTTGGAAAGGAACTCTATGCTGTTCGTTTGCTAAGATGTAGATTTTCACCCATGACCCAAGTGGCTATTCATTGGCTGAAAAAGGGACATCACCTGCTATTTGATCTTGTTTACACCTGGCTGAGGCATCAGCTTGCCCTTCGTCTTGGAGGAAGAGACAGTTACCTTTTCCGTAACTGGTGTTCTTTGAGAGGTGTTGCTCATGTCCATTCCATATTAGATGTGTGTGCTCGCCACATGCACTGGTGCCGGAAGGTCTTCCCTCAGTAGTATCCATAGGGGACCAGCTCTGGTGCCCCCTGGCATGGCGCCTGCATGGCATGGTATAAGGGGCGCCGCCAGCTCCTCCCACCCTCTGTTCCTTTTTGCCAGAAACTCCAACAGTAGGGAAGAAGGGCGGGTTATAGAATGGACATGAGCAACACATCTTGAAGAACACCAGTTACGGAAAAGGTAACTGCCTTTTCTTCTTCGAGTGCTTGCTCATGTT